AAACTAATTTGATAATAAACTATTTGGAAAAAAAAAAAAAAGCCAAAGGACTAGTTTCAACTAAAATGGTTTTGATTTAAGATGTTGTAAGTGGATGATACTCTTATAGTTCAAATCAACCTTGCCTTTTACCTCTCTGTTAAATTTCCTCAAATGACAACTACAATTTTCAGACCATACTACATGGATCTCTGTATGATTGAACCCTATAGTCAGGCTAAGTTCTAAGGCAGGGGGGAGGTAGTAACACTATAATACTAAACATTTCTTTTAGACCATGGAAAAAAGAAATGGAAGACCAAGAAAATTATTAGTTTACCTCATATGAACATTTAAATGGTGTTTACTCTAGCACATTATCACTTAAGAATGGCCTTGAGGGAAATGTCAATTGTCAAGGTTACTTACAAGGGGAAAAAATACATACATACAGATTCTAAAGTTGAGATAATAAGCCACCTGGGTGGCTCAGTTGGATGAGCATCTGACTTCAGCTCAGATCTTGTGGTTCTTGGGTTCGAACCCCTCATCCAGACTCTGTGCTGAGATCTCGGAGCTCAGAGCCTGGAGCCTGCTTGGGATTCCGTGTCTCCCTCTTTCTCTGTGCCTCCCCACTCATGCTCTGTCTGTCTGTCTGTCTCTTCCTCTTTCAAAAATAAATGAAAACATTAAAGAAAAAAAAGATGATGAGTTTACATTCTACATCTGTTAAATGCTAACTCGATGATCATAGAATAAGTAATTTTATTTAAATACATCTGTGTCCAATTTTCTTATCTTAAATGATACAAGCACCCTCTATCTTATAGGTATACTGAATGACATACTTAAAATACCATTAATGATAACTAAGATTAAACCTTTAAAATCAGACCTTTTGGAGTGTTTATTATGTTCGTGTCACTGTGCTTATTAGTTGAGTGTATTAATTTATCTATAAATGCCTTATATGGTGCCTGAAAATAAGGACTTTTTAATACATTTTTAACTCTTTATCTAAAGTCATAGATTAATCATCTATGCGTGGCTCTGTGACAAGGAAATATAATGAAGTATAATTAACTGCTTTTTTTGTATCTTCCCTATTAGACTATGAACTCTCAGAAAATAGGAAAAAGATTGTTTTCTCTGAATTTTCAGAGGACTTTTGGCAGATATTTAGAATATATCATCAAAATATTTCTTTGGTTAATAAATACAAAGAAACTCTGGATTGGTAAACTCCAGGAAATAGATTTAGTAAAAGACAGGTGCTTTAAAATTTAAGGAATCCTATAAGGATACAATCACATAGCTAGAGCAAGCCAAAGCCTATTTAGATGCCACACAACTGGCATAGAAAAACGTATTATGGATTCAGAGAAGGAAGGTATTATGATGATTGAGAATTAGATCTGATAAAAACTTATCAGGTAGGACCCCAAGCTCTGAAACAGAGAAGAATTTTTAAGGCAGGAGAAGACATATTGAAACCTAGAAGACTGAGTAACTATGACATCTTCATAGTATAAGGAGCAGACTGCTATGGCTTCCTAAAATATCTGGGTAGACAAGAGTGTAGAGGAATGGGGAGATGAGGATGGAATGAAAACTCTGATCTGGTTTGACCTTGTTACTAATAGTTATCTATTTGTCTTTTGAGCAAGAATTTGCTCTTGCTCAAAAATAATGTGTGTGTGTGTGTGTGTGTGTGTATTTAGTTAGTTATGGTTAAGACAAATGGAGAGGAAAATGACTTGGGGAATGAGAACCCATAAAGCTCCTATTAGAATTCTGTATTCGTGGGGATACAAGTCTAGGCTTAGATAATAAGGCTTAGATAATAATACTGAAAACATAAAGAGAAGCATAGATACAGGAGGTAATGAA